TGGCAGATGATTCTGGTATTAATAGAGAGACATTTTAGTGCAAGATTTGGGCAAGAAAAAATTTGCTTGCCTGTTTGTACCACCTTCGTTGTCTGATGACCAAAAACATCAGCGGGTTGAGTACCCAAGAGACATCATCAAAACAATAATTTTTGGCCCAAAAACCAAGTGTATGTTCTGAGCCTTCCACCCTATTCCCCAGATTTGTCTCCCTGTGATTAATTTCTATTCCCAAAATTAAAGTAACGATTGAAAGGACACTTCTTTAACGATACTGATGACATCCAAAGGGCTGTAACATCGACTTTGAGGACCATAACAACAGAAGAGCTACAGAGGTCATTCTAGTGTTTGTTAGATCGTGCCACTTGCTGTATCAATGCAAAAGGGGCTTACTTTGAATCAGATACAGGTTGATTATTTTAATTTTTATGAAATTAGTCTCATACTTAATTGTCGGACCTTGTACATTATACGCTGCCCAAAAAAATGGGTTTATCATTTTTAGGCGCCAAAACCATGTTATGTCATAGCAGCAACTACTAATACTTGCCTCGTTATGATTTGTCGTGTAAAGAATATGGAAAAATAATTTCCCAGTGAGGGTCAGCTCTATCATATTTTCAGGGTCACAGATAAAGCAAAATTGTATCTCATCAACTGCGCTTTGGAATCTATTAGCAACCCTACTGTGAATATGACTAAGATCAAGATGGTATCAAACATTTTCTTAACTCTTTTAGTCTCAGGGCGTTTAGCATCAGAGGCCCAATGGGTGGAAACGCAGTTTTGAAATTTCACAAATGTAACACATTAAAACGTACCATACTAATTCAGCTGCTGTGCAATGTACATATATTTTACATCAAAGTGACTAGGGATTGTTGAGGAATAATATTAGAATACTGTGACAATAACTAAATTGTTTTAGTAGTTAAATATTAGTAAATAAACAAACAGAGTGTTATAGAAATTAGTAAAATGAAATTATAATTTGTCCATTTACCACCATGGTGCTCAAGGAAAACTTGATAAAATATATCTAAAACGAAACACAAATGAACTTTAACCACATAATAATGTATAAAAAAATATAAACACAATCTGTACATTAGATCTCATTCCAGAGAAACTTTTAGAACACCATAACGAATCACCATTATTTGGTAAAACAAAATTACTTCCCAAAACTATTAGTATCTTCCCACAAAACAAAGTATATATAACATTGAATTTGCCTGTAGCTTTGTAGCTATGTTTCTAAATAATAATTGGAATAGCACTAGAACTGACACTGAGGAAAATAACCTTTTTCACTAATAGTTTTTAATCTTAATGCCAGCTAGCTTTGTTATCATTGTACGCTTTGCACAAGGCACATATTAAAGCTGTCCCCCATCACAATTTGACACTATAAATGTCTGAAACAAGTCTACTTCACAACTTTTTTTTGTCTAGCTTTGAATAAATCTGATAAACACATGTTTTATTTAAATTTGAGGCCTGTAAAGCAAAAATATGTCTTGTTTGCATGCATGAAGAAGTCTGCTGGGAGGCGATATTATTTTGACAGACACTTAATAACTCAATAAAGCTCACAAACATGCTATATTTTATGCTTTTGACCATGTTTCTAAATAAACCTAATGGTCAACATGTGTGATATTTAATACAAAGAACAGGAAAATGTTAATTTAGTATTTATGATAACTTATAATAAGTGTACCATATTCGTAATACTAACAAAATTAATTTTAGTGCATTAAAAAAGAACAATTTCTAGTTGTAATTCTTTAAAACCCGTTACACTGTGATTTCGGCAAATAAGGGAAAGTCAAGATAGTTGTGATGTGCATACCTCACCTCAGGCACCAGTAGGCTCTGTGCTGGTTTTATTGATTTTTATTCAAGACTCCTGCCACACATCCTCATGGGCTATGGATAGTGGCCCATATTGGCCTGAACTGACCTGGCAGGGGATATAAGAGTTAGTGCCCTCCAGAGATGCAGTGCCCAGAAATCCTCTGGCACCTGTCTGCCCACCCCCTTTGAATGGGTGAAAACATACATGGAAAACGTTTTTGGAACATGAGTGAAGTCCGCTGACCGAGTAACCAAGTAAATGACAATCTGAAATACAAATGTACATCGTTCGAAAGTCCTACTATATCACAAACTGTGGTTCAAATGTCTGTTGACCCAAGATTCCTACTGTATGGCTGCTTACATTCAAATGTCCATTCATTGAGTATCCAACTGTATGACAACAATGGTTCAAATGGGCCAACTCAAAGACCCTACTTTATGAACAAAAAACTTTCAAATGTCCGCTTCCAGTGGTCACACACATCAGTGTCTAATGACCAAACAGGAAAGCCTTGCCTGATGCATGCTACCCATAAATTCTGCAAAAAGTGATTTAATAGGTGCCATTGTCAAAGAGAAGAAATCTAATGTGCAGAGTAAGGGAGATGACCATTTGTGCAGCTAATCGGAGTCTCGGGTCTGCAGACTGCTTTCTGGGGATCCCTAAAGGGCACAGCTCAATATTAATATTCAAGTTAAGCAGTCGTGTGCAGGTTGTGACCATTCGATGGGTGAGCTCAGTACCAGAGCGCAATATATCAGTTCTGCATTTATGGAAGCCTTCTTGGATGGCAGGGGAATGCCCACGTTCTGCCCCTACTTTTCCTTGAGAGTCGATAAGTCTGGTCTGAATGGGTCCTCTAGGGACAGAACCTGTGGATCAGGGGATGATCTAATCACCACACATATGAGTCTAAAAGTGCCCCCCCAAAACTAACAAGATGGATAATCTAGATAACAAATGAAGTTGTATGTGTCGGCAGAAAAGCTCAAATATTGAGGCTAAGCTATGAACAGGCTCAACACAATTACGTCACTCAGATGAACAATAAGAAGAAGACTACGCTAAGAACTAGAGGAAAAGAAGAACCCAAATAAATTGTGAGTCTTGGCCAAATTTTAACAAAACTCCGGTTCCTGGGGGGGGGGGGGGGGGGGGTGGTAGGGGATGTGTTTAAATAATTTGTGATTACTGAGCCTACAGTAAAGCCTGCTAGCAGTTGCAGCATTGTAGTCCCCAAGTTGTGAAAAAAATTATTGGTGAAACCACAATAAATCGATTGGTCAGTTTGTCCTGCTACCTAAAGATTTACCATACCATCCTGTTTAAAAAAAAAAAAAAAATCATAATCAGGATGGGGTAATCTCAGTGTGTATTCCGGGGTCCCATTGTGGGGAAAACAAGAATAGACCTACTGTCCGCCCAGCAAGCATGTCGTAGGAGTCGACTCATTGGGGGCATCCTTCCAAGTCAGAGTGCCTCTGCCCGAGCAGCAAGGAACAACCTACTGCATATAAATAAGCCAGTAAAATGGAGGTATACACAAAACTCAGGCCTTGTCACAAAGCCAAAGTTCGGATGGATGAACAACCAGGACTTTCCGCTGGCGCCTACAGCTGGTAAACAAAGCAGAAAAAGAAGAAGGATGGGTTAAAGACCACAAACACAATAGTTTAGCTTTTGACCAGGATAAAAATAGTTTTGTTAAAATAGTTATGATAATAGTTATGTGGAGCAAAGGGATGTCACTGTGATGTCATAAAGAGAAAACATCAATTGTAACACCAAAAACAATATCTCAGTAGTGGTTTTAGTAAATGTAATTATATCTGGCAAGTGTCCTCGGCCGAATTTGTGCACAGCATTTAGGAGGTCATGATATGAATATATCTGCTAAAATTATAATTTGGGAGAGTTTTCTTGGTAATAAAATGCCTTTTTTAAAAGCCAATTTGATGTCATAATTTGCCCATTGCCTTAATGTCACTGGGTCACAATATGAGTCACCTGATAAATTGTTTGCCCATTAAAAAGTATTCAGTTTAGTGCTTTACTTTGTTCAAGTTTATTGATTATTTTCTTAATATATTTTAAGGAAAAATTTAAAGATAAAATACTGGAACAAATTTATGTCCTGTATCAAATTTTTTTTTTTTAAAAGGGCCCTCTCCCTCTAAACCGCATAATTTCTGCAGGTTTCTGCTTTTTCTTTCAGAGTTTCCAGGGTGAAAGGATTAAAAGCCATTGTAATGCTAATACATCTTGGCTTAGTAAACAAAGAGCAACAAAGCCATGGGGCCAAGTATGAGCCCCTGTATAAATTTTTTTTTTTTTTAGATTTAAGGGAGTCTCCATTCTGTTTGTAGTTATTGATGATTTCCCTAAAAATGCTACAAATGTAAATTAATAAATAATAAAAAAAAATTTTTTTGTGACCTGTGTAAAATTAGTGGTTTTTTTAAAAAAATATTATTTTATTTCCAGTAATTTCTTGGATCATTGTTTTTTTTTCTTTCAAGGGCTTCCTGTGCGAACAGTAAAGTCCTAGTGGACAGGAATATATTTTGCTAGACAGGACACTGCAGTTCATTTTTACTTTATCTAAACACATGAAGTGGATAATACATTGCTAATTCAGATTAATGTAAATCAAGCATGTATATTTAAACTTCATTTATCTGAATGCTGACCTCCGACTTGGAATCTTGGAGAAAAGGTGGCAAATTGGACAGACATTTGTCGCTATGCATTCTTTGACGATTTTTGACTGGTCTTAATTGTGGAAAGATTTCTTTGCACGAAAGGAATTAATTAACTCACCACTCGCTATTCAACTTTAGATAAATCTGATATCAAACCAGCCATGTTAGAAATGACCAGCAGCTGAACCTCTGCGTTCATGGGGAATAAACACATTTTCACTTTTGCATTTGTTGTGTTATTATCACCAGACTTAGACATCATGTACCAAATGCTGAGTCCAGCATGACACAGTATGGATGGGTTTCATTTGATCACTGCTTGTGTTATTTTTTTACTTGTATTATTTCTTTCATATTACTGTAAATATAATTTTTTTGAAAATGACTTACTTTCATTTTAGCAATTCATCTTCACTATTTTTTGTTTTCAGGCAAAGTTTAAAGATAAAGGCACAGAAATAGCTGAAAACCAGTTTACTCAGGTTTGTATTTTGTACAAGTAAATTGAAGATTATATTGAAGGAGAGTTTTTCTTTATATACACACTTTCCTACAATTGTAAAGTTCTGTTGTGTTCATAGCTCTGCAGTTAATTTTGAAACCTCTGATTGATGTGCTTTGCTTGTTCCCACTATAAGTTACTAATGAGTATGATATTGTTTTCATCTAAACCTATATCTTGAAGGCATGCATTTCGCTGTTGATAAATAAGATGGTGTTTGCATTAAAAACTTGTTGTTATCACTTGTAATTTTAAAGCAGAACAAACTTCCCAGCTTGAAAGATTAACCCCATCTTGTGTACAATCAGGCGTAGGCAGCGCTATCACCCCAACACAGGATGTCATTCAAAATATACACAAGCATTTCTCTGGGTAGGTGGGGCCCGTCAGCTTGGGACAGCAGCCCACCTATGAGTAGGATACTCTGAAAATAAAACTGCCATTGCCCAGTGGTTGGTTACGGGCTAAGAAAACACATCCTGAAGGGAAAGCACTTTGAAGACTGAAACGCTAGGTCGAAAAGCAGATAGTATGGGAGAATATTTTCCCACAAACGTGGCGTCATGCATACCTTCTTGAATGTAAGAAAACACTAGCAGGAATGAAGACTGTAGTGTTTAATCTCTAACACTCCACTGAAACCATATCTTGGTGAGCTGTCACATACTGCTAGTGTCATGTGCCTTTGTTAGGGTTTTCCCTAATGAACCAAATGGCACTCTGAAGTAGTTTTAATGTTGAGATGTTGGCTCTCAATGGTCTAGGCAGAATCCCGCAGCTCGAGTGAACATTCAAGCTACTCAAATTATGGCACTACAGAATATATAAATATTCCTAGGTGCAACTTGGCCTGACTTCCTCACTACTATTAAGCCACCAGACTAGATAGTACTTCTATACTAGTCAAAATAACACAGTGAAACATGTAATGTGTTTCTCAATGACCCTGAGAGCTATGCCGGCAGTAGCAAAGGGTAGAGAACAGACAAATAGAGACACCCTGGTCCTCCAGGTTGGGGGTTGAAGTGTGGGGCCAACACCCCCACCTTCGTAAAACTTTATCTCGTCACGAAACAGATATCTAAGCCTTGATTTTGGATGGATTTAAACGGACAACGAACTTGGAAAGTGTCTTTATTAATACAAATTTTTAAGAAAGGAGACAAGTATAAGTGTGAAAATTATAGAGGAATATCACTATTATCTACAAGCTATAAGATACTGTCATCTGTACGGCTAAACCGGCTAAAACCATACGTCGAAGACTTATTGGGAGATTACCAAGCAGGTTTCTGACAGAACAGATCAACAATAGATCAGATATTTATTTTACGGCAAATAGCAGAGCAAAATTAAAAATATAAAAAAGATGAACATAATGTTTTTGTGGATTTTAAAAAGGCGTATGATAGTGTGCATAGAAACAGTTTATGGAATGCTCTGAAGGACTTTGGAATACCAAACAAATTAATTAGCAAGTCCAAACTATGTATGGAAGACACTCGTAACATAGTAATATATAAAGGCAGAAAATCAGACCCTTTTCAAATAACATCTGGTTTAAAGCAAGGTGATGCTCTGTCCACACTTCTTTTCAACTTGGCTCTGGAGAAAATTATAAGGACATTGAAACAAGAGTGTACTATAGGAGAAACTACAAGAATACTTGGATATGCAGATGCCATTGAAATCGTTGGAGAAAATGAACTAGAGACTGTTAAAACACTGAATGTCTTAAAAGAATCAGCTCAGAAAATGGGGCTAGTTATCAATCAGATAAGACAGAATATATGATAATAACTAGACAGGGAAAGGATATAAACTCCGGCCACATACAAGTCAATAATATGAAAATCAAATGAACAAAAACGTGTAAGTACTTAGGTGCAAACTTCAACTGCTCCAACATGCTGAGAGAAGAAATACAATCTAGAATACAATTTGGAAATAAAATATAGTATGCTGTTCAACATCTGCTAAAGTCAAAGTGTCTGTCTCACAACACCAAGATCAAAATATATAAAACGTTGATAAGACCAGCCGTGTTATATGGCTCTGAAAACTCTGTCTCACAACACCAAGATCAAAATATATAAAACGTTGATAAGACCAGTCGTGTTATATGGCTCTGAAAACTTGGAGCACAACTAAAAGAGATGAAGCCTTATTACAGGTTTTCAAAAACAAGAGTCTTACGACGAATCTTTGGACCCATCAAATATGCAAACAGCGGTGAATGGAGAGTGAGAAGCAACAACAAAATTTATAATCTGTTTAAATCACCACTGATCGCTGGCATCATGAGAGCTAATAGACTGAAATAGTCGGGACGTATTGAAAGAATGTCAGATGACAGAAAAGTAAAAACTGTATACACCAGGGAAATAAATGGTCGTAGACCACGAGGGAGACCAAGAAGACGATGGAGAGATAATATCCAGACAGACCTGCAAACACTTGGTGTTACCAACTGGAAAGAGAAGGCTAACCAGAGAGTTGAATGGAGGCGGCTGATATCTGCAGCCATGAACCTCAAGGGATCAGAATGCTGAAGAAGAAGAAGAAGAATCATGTAATGCAACATTATACAAATACTGCAGACAACTAGGCACTGTGAAGGATGGACACTAAAAACAGAATGTAAAAATCACAAAACATCTTGTAATCAGTGCAACAAATGTAGGAATTAGGAAAAGGAATTAAGTAAAGTCAATCGCCACTAATGAAACAAAGACATGTTATGACATTGAGTGTCTGAGTTGCCCCTAGTAGCAGCCAAGATCATCACTGCCAAGATGTTGAATACTGGACCCAGGGAACTGGCACTTAGGTAAAGGATTAACTGCAGTTGCTGGCCCTTTTGACTTAGCTTTCATGAATTCCGATCCAATAAAACAAAGATCTCCTCACACATCTACTAAGCTGTATTGATTCACAAACTCCTCCTTTTTTCTGCAAACAGCATACAATGAATGACTGTACTGGATTGCAGCTGTCGTGCATTCACTTATGGTTGCCCTTCGCCTGGGTACTTGGACCTCAGAACCATGTAATATCGCCCCAGGACTACCACAGGGTTCTGCAATTTCACCAGTGCTCTTTAATTTGCATACAAGCAAGATTGCAGAACTTGGAATCACCAGGTGTTGGAAGAATATTGACATTTGCCGATGATGTTCTTGCATATAGGCAGGGAAGAGCTAGACGACGGATAGCTCATGAGCTACAGGCTGTAGACAAAGCGACTGACTGTAGACAAAGCGACTGACTGGTGTGCAGAAATGGGTGCTGTCATCAACTCAGAAATGGCAGCAGTTTGGTGGTGCTCTCTGGACAATAGAATTGTAAAAGCTAACGTTCCACACCTCACAGTTAATAAAAACTACATCAAAAGAGAAAGCAAACTGAGTTACCTGGGTATCATTTTTGATAGAAACCTGTCCTTCAGGGATCATGTGGATGCAGTTGCAGTGAAATGGGAAAAAGGATTCAATGCTCTCAATGGACATGGAACAAAGAATTTTGTTCACAATGTTCCAGCAGGTGATCCTGTCGGTGATAAATTATGGACTTATGCTTACCATATCAAAGAGTCAGCTGATGAAACTTGAACACATACATAATTAAGCTGTGCAGGAAATTCTGTGCGGGAAATTCTGTGATGTACAAGAGATACCCCCGTAGTATATCTGCGAAATATACTTGCACTGCCTACTATTGCAGATAGGCTCAAAGTTCTGCAAGCAAAGTCATATCTCAGAGTAGCTGCGGACAAGAGGCACCTCCTGCATGAAGCCCTGGATAGAGCTAAGGGTCACAGACTGAAAAGAGGAAAGTCTTGGATGGCGCTAGCTTAAGACACAATTGGACATGTTTGCAGGCTTGATGAATTTGGAGACAAAGTGCATGGGGGTTCATAGCGATGGTGAATGGGCGTCGCTTGGTACAACAAAGCCTGGCATACGATATCATAACGTCTAGTTGGAGAATGGAGGTGGAGGCAGTCACTGCTGCCTTTTACTGGCTTGGGAATCAGCTGTACACACATATCATCATTGTAACTGACTCACAGTGGAAACAGGCATGCTCCGTAGTGAGTGACAAGCATCACTTCAGGGGTCCCGGGTAGTTAGCATTCTTTGGATATTTTCTCTGGGTGATGCTAGTGTGTTGGAAAATGAGCAGGCAGATAGACTGGCTATTTCTGCACCACTTGGTGGTAAACTGATGTATGACAAGCTGGATGTTCTGAGGGCCCTTTGGGAGCGAGTGAACAATGCAGAGGAACAGATAGATCATTACGGTCTGAGAATAATGGCACTGCGAGGAGTTACAAGGGTATCTGGCAGACACTGGACACTCAGGGGAAAGGCGAGACAGATATGCAATAAGACGGTCAGTGGTACCATCAGAATTTAAATTTTTCGCTTGCTGCTGGAGATGGGGACGGAGCGCTTATGGGGGTGTCCCGAGTACTGTGATGTCGATTCATAATTCCACATTCCACATTTTTGAATGAGTGCTCACACTGCCCAAAACATTAAGAATTTGATACCCTGTCACTGTCCTGGCTATATCCTGGGTCTAGAGTCCGTGTTAATTATTAATACACTACAGTCTGTTGCTTCAGTTATAGGCAGAAAAGATGCCAGACAATATTTTGGACATCCACAAAAACACACTGGGGATGACCCCTCCCAGGTAGTAAATTACTGTCACTGTACCGCCACCAACAGGATGCAGGAACAAAAATGACCAGATGAACCATTTTACTTTCTTCTGGCTGCTGGATGTAGTGTAGGCTGGATACTGTGTCGATCTAGGATTCTCGACCTGGCTTCCAAGGAAGTTAAAATCCTGTGACAAATGGGAAAACCAGAATTAGCAATCATCCTACACCCTAGATACCTAGTTCCTCACCTCTCCATCTAGCCACATACATTTAGCTCAGAGGTCTATGTTAGGGTTGGAAGACTGCAT